TTTAAATCCCGCAAACAAGGCAGCCAGGAAGCTTCAGCACTTCGCCGATTCCCCTTGCTTGACAGTAGGGGTTCAAGATCCTGTCGAGGCAAAGTCGCTCGCCCTTGAGTTGCTCATTTTTGGTTTTCCTGCCCCCCCTTCTCTGCGTGCTTGAAGAGAGAGAAAGAGCAAGACGTCTCACTCTCGCCTGGACCCCTCCTGGATAGATCTGTCATTTTAGCAGAGCCTTCAAAATAGGGGGATGTGGGTGGCCTTTTCGTTTTACAAGGCCAAAAATTGTCAAAATACACACTTGGGGTCCACTTTGAGGACAGCGTGAAAAAAAGTTTTTGCCACAAGAGGGGGGAAAAAAGCAGCAACTTTACCTGGGTGTAACCCTTTTTCCGAAACATCACTCCATCTGAGATATAATCCAGGATGACTCGAGTTGGAAACATTCGTAAGCATAATGATGTCAACGAGATAAAATGTTGACAATGAAAAAGCTGGCCCCCCGATGGCTCCAACTTCATCCTGTTTCCCACTTTATGTCTCATAATAATAAAAATGCTTTCAAAAGAGGATGTAGGTAAAGCTCTTAGCTTTCCAAAAAAGTTTGGAAACCTTAAACCCGTTTAAAAAGCTGTAATAAGTAGGGCCTTAACTTGTCAAACCCTGTATAAAAAAAAAAAAAAAAAAAAAAAAAAAAAAAAAAAAAAAAAAAAAAAAAAAAAAAAAAAAAAAAGAGAGAGAGAGAGAGGAGAGGAGAGAGAGAGAGAGAGAGAGAGAGAGAGAGAGAGAGAGTCAAGGACGAGTGATCTTTTCAAGAGGGGAATATAATTTTTAACGCTACTTAAGTGATTACTGTATCGTACAACTGTACATTACTGTAGCGTACTGTTACAAAAAGAGAAGTTATGTGTCTTGCTGGTTTCACAACAGAAGCGATGGAGAACTCCGGGGAGTTTGGGATAAATCTTAAGTATGTAACCTGCAAAAGTCTTCTCTTCCGTAAACAAGGTGTTGGATCGCGGTCAGGACTGACTATCTTTAGTATATAAAAAAAAACAATCTTAATAGGCTTTTTGTAAATTATGCCCAGGAGACAATAATCCGACAAAATAATAATTTAATATTTTTAATGTTAACATGTCTTAAAAGATGTAACAAATACTCTCTCTTGTTGAAAAAATACAATTTATGAACATTTAGTTAAGTGACATTTCCATTGTCACGAGTCGTAATTAACCATATATACACATATACCCAGGGGTTTCAATCATTGACGGAAATGTCAATGATTGAAACCCCTGGGTATATGTGTATATATGGTTAATTACGACTCGTGACAATGGAAATGTCACTTAACTAAATGTTCATAAACCCCTATATACGTACAAGGCTAAATTGTACATCCGTCCTCGAATAAACACTGGCTTCGAGTACGATAATCCACCAAGTGACTGAGTGGGCTGCAGAAAACAATATGAAGTTCAACGATGAGAAATTTCAATTACTCAGATATGGTAAACACGAGGAAATTAAATCTTCATCAGAGTTCAAAACAAATTCTGGGCACAAAATAGAGCGAAACACCAACGTCAAAGACCTGGGAGTGGTCATGTCGGAGGATCTCACTTTCAAGGACCATAACATTGTATCAATCGCATCTGCTAGAAAAATGACAGGATGGATAATGAGAACCTTCAAAGCTAGGGAGGCCAAGCCCATGATGACACTCTTCAGGTCACTTGTTCTATCTAGGCTGGAATATTGCTGCACACTAACAGCACCTTTCAAGGCAGGTGAAATTGCTGACCTAGAAAATGTACAGAGAACCTTCACGGCGCGCATAACGGAGATAAAACACCTAAATTACTGGGAGCGCTTGAGGTTCCTAAACCTGTACTCCCTGGAACGCAGGTGGGAGAGATACATGATTATATACACCTGGAAAATCCTAGAGGGACTAGTACCGAACTTGCACACGAAAATCACTCACTACGAAAGCAAAAGACTTGGCATGACGATGCAACATCCCCCCAATGAAAAGCAGGGGTGTCACTAGCACGTTAAGAGACCATACAATAAGTGTCAGGGGCCCGAGACTGTTCACTGCTCCAGCATCATAAGGGGGGGTTTCCCAAAAGACCCCGGCAGTCTTCAGCGGCATGGACAAGCACCTAAAGTCGGTTCCCGACCAGCC